CCGAGTCTTCACTGACCTTGAAAGGCTAGGGCCAAAATGTTGGCTGACCTTGCAGCCCTTCCTTTTCTCCAATTTTGATCTGCTAACTTAGGTTGTTAACCCTCCAGAAGAGAAGCTAATTATTAACCTGCAATATATGCAGTTCGGTTTACCCTATCTGTCTAAATAGCAAACATTTTGGTATATCATGGAACAGGTATTTTCCATCAGATATTGATATGTTGAACTTTTAAGTCCTTACAGAATATGAACGAAAAATAATTATATAAAAGTAGAAATAAGCATTTACATATTTTTACAAAGAAATTTAGAAACCTAACAATATACAGAATTATAAGTCCTTATACTAGGGAGATAATACAATATTTACAGATGTGGGTCTGGTTTATTTCACTAATAAGTATATCTTCAAGTGGCATCCACTTAACTATGAAGGCTTCAAGTTTATCATTCTTTATAGCTGAGTAGTGCTCCATTATATAAAAGTACCACATCTTTTTCAACCATTCCACATGTGATGGGCATCTTGGTTGTTTCCAAGATCTGGCTAATGAACTTATGTTTTTCATGTTAATAATGTTTCAGTTCTGGCAGAATATAACTTTGTTCTTCTATAATTGCATTTTTATTTCTTTATGTTATAAATGTAACAATACATTGATTTGTTTTGTAAAGGTTTATCTTCTAAAGTCTCTTAGAAAATTGAACACCGGGGCTGGTGAGATGGCTCAGTGGTCTAAAGCACCTACTTAGAACAAGCTTAGCAAAGCACAGGGATCACGGTTCAATCCCCAGCACCACATGCCAGCCAGCACCGCCCCCTGGTGGACTAAGCTGGCCACACACACACACACACACACACACACACATAAATAAAATAAAAAGAAAAGAAAATTGAACACCGTATTTATGTTCTCTTCTGTTATTTCCAGTGATCTTCATTTCTTCCTGTGGATTTAGGTTGCCATTGAGTCACTTCCATTAGGCCAAAGGGCTTCTGTTAGTATTTCTTGTAGGGCTCAACAGTCAACAGTTACCATTAGTAGTCAGCAGCAGGTTGATTTGTCTGTTGCTGTTGTGTTTACCGGTATTTGTGAAGGATAGTTTAAGACTTCAGAAGATAAGTAGAGAAATTTTGCCATTGACTGCTCTCCTCCCTATAGCTGCCACTGAAAGTGGGTTAAACACCCTGCCCTTGCTGATTTCCTTTCCTCTTATTTCTGTGTTTTTGGGAAAGAGACACCTCCTGTATCCCTCCTTCCCCTACATTCTCTTAGGCTAAGGTTTGTTACCCCTGGGACACTGTGAACATTTTGGGCTGGATAATTATTATTGTGGGAATCTGTTGTTTGTGTTAAAAGGTGGTTTTTTGTAAAGGGAAGAGAATTTTTATACATAATACTTATAGCTTGTGTATTATTTTCCCATACTTGATTTTATAGTACATGTGAAGTATGTAGTTGCTGTATAGCAAATTAAGAATATGCTGAGGTTGGGGAAATAGCTCAGCGGCGTAAGTTCCTGCCTGGAAAGCACAAGGTCCTGAATTCAACCCCGGTACCCCCCGCCACTCCCCCACAAAAAAAGAATATGCTGAGATAGGGAGAAAAAATGTCCCCTACTTCTTGACAAATAAGTGCATAGGCCAAGGTCAGTATTCCTCAAACTTCAGATTCCAAGAAAAAACGTACATTCTTCATATCAGAGAGATTAAATAAAAGCATGCTGTGTGGGAGGCATCACATGACATCATGGGGACTCCTGTGCTTGTTAGAAGTGAATTGAGGTGTGTGCTGGTTGCAGAAGTGGATGGTGAGCCTTTTGGGTCATAAATGCTCACAGTTTTTTTTTCTGCTGTTGAGCAGCTTTCAATAACAGAATCCCTGCGTTTTAGAAGAAACTTGCATATTTTGCTTTGATAATTATAGAGGGGTTTTGGATTACTTTCTCTGTTAGATATGACTATTTAAACAGTTGTCCTACAAGGTTTTCTTTATGGTCATTTGAATCATTTATTGAATCATACGTTAGACATGCAGGTTTTTTTTTTTTTCCTTGCTTAGAGGAAATCTCTTTTCTTGAAAATTGTGTTTTAAAAACACTGAGGTACCATCAGTGAAGTGTTATAAAATTCTTAAGATATGAAAAATTTCAAAAGACCTGTTTCTGTTTTTCTGAGATACGTTAAGTACAGAAGTTAACAGGGATATATCAAAAAATAATGCGTCTCTTCATATATTGCACCTCCGTTACTACTACTTTATACCTTTTATATGTGTAAATTTATAAATATCTTTTGAAGAGAACAGTAAATTTTCTTAAAGATTATTTTTTAAAAAAATCATTTATTATTTGGTACAGGGACTTCCTGCACAGCTCCAGCTCATAGTGATCCTACTGTCTCAGCCTCACCCGTGCTGGGCTTACAGGTGTGTGTCTCCATGTCTGGTTTTGGTGGCCTGCAGAGGGCACTGAGGTTTCTCGGGCTGGCAGGGCATGCAAACCCAGGTCCTTGGCCCTGGCCAGGTAGGCAGGTAGGCGCTTAAACTGCTGAGCTACCTCATTATCCAGCCCCTCCTAAAGATTCTGATAGTAAATAATTCTGTATTGTTAAGCTATCACATTTGCTTGTCTCTGTTGTTAGAGAGATAGCCAGAGACATTTCATAAGTTGTGGATCACTGTGTGTATCTAGCAATGGTGCCTTAGATACAGTCCTATAGGCAATGAGAGGACAGCATGTAGTGGACATTCTGGTTGCCTAAACAAGTAGGAAATAAGTCTGGTCAATAAAGTGTGGCATTTGGGTTTTTAAATGAGTGGGATTATAATTTTGTTAAGTAACTTATTTATTTTTTATGGTACGTAATAATTTAAATTGGCCCCTTTCTAAGTATTCTGAAAATCATCAGATGCAGCGGTAGTTTCACTGACTTTCAGTCACTTCAGACATTTGTATAGGAGATGTCATCCCCAATATTGATACAATTCACTTTGTAGTTTTCATTTTAATTCATGTATGTATGTATGCATACATGTATGTGCCGGGGATTGAACTTGGGACCTTGCACTTGCCAGGCAAGCGGGCACTTGTGCTTCTGAGCCATATCCTTGGTCCAAACCTTTTGTTTTTTAAAATTTTGTGTGTTTTGTGTTCTTAGAATATTTATTTTAGGATTATCAGCCTGTAGTCCCTGCGAAGACTTTGGATCTGTACCATTTTATTTACTTCATTGAAAGTGCTAGTTTCAGGCATTACCTGGCTGGTGCTGGTGCACTTTGCCATACTTGATGAAGTCCTTGTCATGTATGAGTTCAGAAATGACAACTGTTGAGGCTTTCTGTTCTTTGGGAAGTTTGGAGTGCATTTTCTCTAGCTTTCAGTTTTGCCAGAGCATATGCTTTTGAGTCTGGCCCATTTCTAGGCAGTGGTGGTCATGTGAAGTCGTCATTCTCACAGTTGCCGGATCTCAGGAGGGCACGGCTGCTGGCATTGTCTGTGCACAGAATTTGGCTAGTTTTGTCAAGTGCTTCATTGGCTTTGTAGCAGTGAAGACAAAGCCATATTTCTTAAACTTTATGAATTCAAGTTTCTCTCATTTTTATTTTCGGATGTAATATTTTAATGTCCTATTCTGGATTTCTGCCATAGATCTTTTTTTTTTTTAATTTTTTAAAATTGTTTTATTTATTTGAGAGAGAGAGAGAGAGAGAGAGAGAGAGAGAGAGAGAGAGAGAGAGAGAGAGAGAGAGAGAGAGAGAGAGAGAGAGGTGTGTGTGTGTGGCCAGCTCAGCCCACCAGGGGGCGGGGCTGGCTGGCATGTGGTGCTGGGGAATCGAACTGTGGTCCCTGTGCTTTGCCAAGCTTGTTCCAAGTAGGTGCTTTAGACCACTGAGCCATCTCACCAGCCCCTGCCATAGATCTTTTAGTGAATAGAATGTGGTCAGATTTAGATTTATACATGAGAAACTTCTGTCTGTAGAGTTTAGGTAGAAATATGAGAAATATGTTTATAAGTCCACTGATTAAATTCATATCCCAAGTTCTATAAAAATTGGATTACTTACTGAATTTCTTTTCTGGGTAATAGCCTTATTTACTGTTATTGTAATCTGGTGACTTTTTAGTGTATGAAGTGAAGATTATCGATGAACATTATAGTATGTAACTTTTATTCCAGGGCAGACACAGGTGAATAATATTACCACTAATATTATTCTTTTATTCCTGAGTTTTAGTCCCTAAGAATTTAGAGCTTGTTAAGAGTTTGTGGGGCTGAGTGTAGTGGCGTGTGCCTGCAATCTATAGTACTCTGGAAGCTGAGGCCGGAGGAGAGCGTGAGGCTAAATTGGGCTACATAGTGAGTTTAATAATAGCAAGACCCTATCTCAAGGAGTCCGGGGGGATTTATGATTAATTTTTCTTGCATAACATCTCATAAGAATTGCTGTCCTTACACTAATTTCATAGTATACTGAAATATTTTATAAATAGATTTAGTCTGAGACTTGGAAACCTGCTGTTACCCAATATAGACTGATGGCATTGATTCAGTTGATTGTCCCTTTTCTGTTTTTCCTTCTCTTTTACACAAGAGCCTAGTACTGGATAAATTTTGTCTTTCCTTGCAGGAATAAAAGTCATTTTTTAAATAATGTATTTTTCCCTCATTTAATTCTTTGTAAAAGAAAATTTAGTTGTAAAAATTTTCTGTGGTCACTTAGCAACAATATGTTTCTTTCCTAGGTTTGAGTTCTGGGAAGATTTTGAAGAAGACCATGGAAAAGGGAGAGAGAATGGATATCAGAGTCTTCATAAGGTGCTAGAGCCTTTCCTTCTCCGGAGAGTCAAAAAAGATGTTGAGAAGTCCCTTCCTGCCAAAGTGGAGCAGATTCTCAGGGTAGAGATGTCAGCCCTTCAGAAACAGTATTATAAGTGAGTTTGTTCTTGTCTGATAAAGCTAAAGGGAATTGAAATCATGACTATAAAGCCATTAGATAATTCATGAATAATCTGATTGTTTTTTAAGCAAAGTCTCAACATAGTAGAAGTTTGTAATTGGTCAGAAAAAAAGGTTTGGTTTTTTTTTTTTTTTTTTTTGGTATGTGTGAGAATTTACACAATGTTTATCATGACTGGGTCATCTAAAGTACACTTGTAATTCTTAGTGCTAATGCCCCTACCTGAAAGCAAACATCTACTACTTATTTGTAGATACATCTTCTCTGCCTTTCAGCCAGTTTTTGCTTAAGCTTCTGCCATGTTCCTTGTACTCAGCCACTCTGAGTATGCAGCTGAGTGAACACATCCCTGCCAGAGCCTTCATTGTGTGTCAGGGAAGACAGACTGGGCAACAGCTTAAGAGTGTAGTGCTGTTTGACAGGGAAGCAGTGCAGAGGCCTGTGAAAGTTCAGAAAAAGAAGTGTTCCCCGTGTCCTCCAGGGTGAACATGGGTTCACCCATGTCTAGCATTCCAGTGGAACAGTTGAAACGTGGGTTATATCATTGGTTTAGGTTTGCTCCTTTAAAACCAAGCTGAGCATGGATTACTGATGTGTACCACTATTTCTGGCCCTCATTTTTATTTATTTTTTTCCTTTTTTTGTATTTTTAGTACAGGGTCTATAGGGTCTCTCTACACAGATCAGACTCAATGATTCTCTTCTTTTCAGCCTGCTAAGCACTGGGATTACGGGTGTGCGCCACCATATGCCCAGTCTCAGTTTCTGTCTCAGTGTATCCTGGGGCGGGGCAAGCCAAGGATTGAACCCCCAGTCGCTGCACCTGCCTAAGTAGGTGCTTTAGTCAGCTGAGCTATCTGGCTGGACCTTCTGACTCTCATTTTAATTAATTTTTATTTTGGAAAATGTTCACGTGTGTATAAGAATAGAACCTCTGTGTGTACTCAGCCATAATCTACATTTGACAGTTACTCATGACTATGATGATTTTTTTTTTTTTTTTTTTTTTTTTTTTTTTGTGGAACTGGGGATTGAACTGAGGCCCTTGTGCTTGCCAGGGAAGTACTTATTCCACTGAGCCATCTCACCGGCCCCCATGGCTATGATTTGTTTATACATTTTCTTGAACCCTCTCCCCCCAATTGTATTAAAATTCATCCTATGTACATATCATAGATGTCTCAGTATATGTATCTCAAAGAGAGACTTTATTTTGCTAGTACTATATTAATGTTTATCACTAAGAATAATTTTACTATTATGCCTAAAATATTCCTTACCAGTTTTTACTGTGTAGTGGATGTTTACATTTTCTTTGTCATTGTACGTGCACACAGAATACACATACAGATAAGCACCAACATCAATGCCGTTTTTGTTTCTGTTTGTGTTGGGATTTACATTGTTTTATACATCAGGAATGATTGGTATGTCTCTGAGTTCATTAGTTTTGCAGTGTTGAGAACTAAACTCAGTACCTTTGCAAGGAACTGCACTGCTAGCCGCCTTTTAAAATGTTTCTTTTGGTGCACGCCTGTAATCCCAGAACCTGGAAGGCAGAGACAGAAGGGATGACACTGAATTCAAGGCTGTCATGGGCTGCATAGTGAGTTCAAGGCCAGTGTGAACTACCTAGTGAACCACTGTCTCACTAAAAAAAGAAAAAAAGATTAACTCTGAAAAAAACAGTTTTTACATTTTGAGAGGGTCTTCCGAGGCTTCTTAGGCTAGGCTTGCACTCCACATCCTCCTTCCTCAGCCTTCCAGAGTGCTGGCACCCGGGTGTGTGCTACTACATGTTATTTTTATTGTATTCCTTTGTTTTCCTCGACCTTGTAAGGATTTTGGGCGAAGAGACTGACTTTATATTCTGTAGATTTTCTTAGCCAAAAGGTCAAGAAACAAATTGTTTTCTGTTTGTAATGTTACCAATTAGTTGTGAACATCACCTATATTGATTGGTACAGTGTAGGAATACTCATATTTTATCAGGCTTTTTTTTTTTTTTTTGGTGGAACCGGGGATTGAATTTAGGCCCTTGTGCTTGCCAGGCAAGCGCTATTCTACTGAGCCATCTCCCCAGCCTATCATGCTTTTGTTCATTAAGTTGAATACTAGCCAGGTGTGATGGCACATGCCTGTTATCCCAGCACTAGGGGGCCTGAGGCAAGAGGATCACTGAGACTCCATCTCAGAATAAAAATAGTAAAAAAAAAAAAAAAAGAATAAAAATAGTGGAATATATTTATAAAAAGAAATTTCCCCTATCAACTGAGGAGTAGGTCACATAGGAAAGGCAAAATAAATACTTGCTTTTGAATTTTTGCTATTTTCCAAGTAAAATGTCTACTTGTCCTTTAAAGGTTAAGACCAGTGAGATTTATTTTGGTATCCTTAGTGTTAGTGTTCCAGATTTTTTTTTTTTAGTGCTCCAGATTTATCTTGTACATTTCATTTTACTCAGATGGACCTGTGTTGGGTCCTGTGGACTTGCATGTTCAGTGGACAGAAGTAGGAAGTTTTATTTTTAAACACCAAGATACACCTCGAGTTCTTTATGGTTAAACAGTACAGGTTGCCCTCTATATCTGTAGGTTTGGCATTGAGGTATTCAGTTAACCACAAGTCAGTATTCGTAAAGCTTTCCGTCTGTACTGAGCATACAGAGAATCACACTGCTTAAGTAATACAGTATAGCACCTAGGGAGCATTTATACTTTATTAGATGTAATAAATAATCTAGGATTTAAAGTATATGAAAAGATATATGTAAGTCATGCGCAAATACCGTGTTTTGTACAAGGGACTGTGCATGTGTGTGCGTGTGAGCGTGTAGTCAAATGCAGGGTGTCATGTGCTGGGTGCTAGCTTTGGCACTGATACCAATGGACACCTCTTCTAGAAGATTGCATTTGCTCTTAAAATTTTATATGCTAAAGCTTCCACTTGTCAAATACACTGGTCTCACTCATTCCACAGTGATAACAGTGTTAGGATAACCTGTGCAGGTTCTGTTCAGGACAACAGCAACAACAAAGCCAGTAAAAAACGAGAGGGCTTTTGCTTGCATGCTTTTGATATATCCCACTAGAAATGAGTGACTCCTGAAGCACTTGAGATGGTGTGTTGTGTGTACCTTGGCCACCAGTGGAATATGTGGGTTTATGTCATTTTACTTTGTTTCTTTAGAGATTGCTTTAATTTTACACTTATATAATATTTATGGCATTCCATACATAGAGTTACAAATTCTGGTATGTTCAAAGAATTCTAACCCTCATCTTTATACCCTGCGTTATAGTTCCTTGTCCATTACTTACATTTTTATAAACACTCCTTTTTAAATCCAAATTTTATAATTTTTATTTGCTAAATTTTTTTTTTTTTTTTTTTTGTGGAGCCACTAGGGATTGAACTCAGGCCCTTGTGCTTGCCAGAGAAACGCTTATTCTATGGAGCCATCTCCCCAGCCTATTTCCTAAATTTTAATATTTAATTTTTTTCTAAATTTTTTAAATATAGACAAACATTTTTAATTTCCTCATAGATGCATGATAGTACACCGTATATCTGTTTTTCTGCCTTTTTCAGTAGAATCTTAGTAGCTTGTAGAGATATTTCTTGTCAGTTGTGTGCTATCTTATTGTGGATCTGTAATGTTGTTTTTCTTTTTTTTTTGGTGGAACCAGGATGAAATTTAGGACCTTGCGCTTGCCAGACAAGCACTTATTGCACTGAGCTATCTCCCCAGCCCCTGTAGTGTTGTTTTTCAACCATTTTTCTAGTGTTAAAATTTGGATTGTTTGATATACTTTGCTGTTGTATTATTATTCTCATTTTTGGAGAGAAAGTCTCTCTTACTATGTAGTTCTGGTTGACCTTGAACTCACAGTGATCCTCCTGCTTCAGCCTCCTGAGTGCTGGGATTACAGGTGTGTGCCATCATGCCAGGACTTCGTTTTTACAAATAATCTCTGTAGTTAAAATGTTGAGGTAGATTCTTGACACTGTCATTGCTAGGAGAAATGTAAAAGTACCTTTAATATTTTGAGGTTGTGTTTAAGGATTGTTTGTGAATATGCCTAAACTTATGTAGTCATTTCATATTTTATTATATGTATGTCAACACTTGTGGAAAAGTTACCATGAGTATATAGCTTCTATCCTTATATGGTCTGTTTTAGTTTATTTAAGCAGTGTCTTAGGGCAGGCGAGATAGCTCCGTGAACTAAACGCCTGCTTAGGCAAGCTCAGGGACCGGAGTTTGATCCCTGTACCACCCTGTACCAAGTACTTAAAAAAAAAAAAGTGTATTGTAATAGTGTTTTCATGATAACGTTTGGATTCAAGATGTGTACATACATTAGTATATATAGGCATGTGTGAGGTGGGCTTTGGAAAACACCAAGTACTTACTAAGTACCACTAGTGGACCAGGAAGATAGCCCAGTGGCATAAGTGGCATCAGTGCCTGCATGGCAAGTGAAAGGTAGACAGTTTGATTCGCAGTACCAAAAAAATAAAGAATCACTAAGTGTTGTTAGTCCATTGAAAAGACAGATACATGTGCCTATGCTGCTTGGCTGGTTTTTCCATGCCTGTATCTTGTGTTACGAGTAACTACTTTGAAGATAACATCATGCAAGGTTTTGAACACTGTTCCTCCCATGTGGTTGTCTTGTGTTGTGTTATTTTGTTTTTGGCTTTTTGAGACAGGGTCATGCTTTGCAACTCAGGCTAGTCTGAAGCTCACTCATAGCCCAGGTTGATCTTAAACTCCTAATGACCCGCCTTGCTCAGCCTCCCTGAGTGTTTGGTTTACAGGTGGGAACCACCATGCCCGGCTCTCCTACAATCTTGTTTTGAAATTTTATACAATTGTTTTTTGTTTCTTTAAAATAAAAAAAATTAAAAACGAAGAATACAAAACAACCACAAAAAATGGTGAAGGGAAAGACACACTGCTGTTAAGTC